ACAATTTTCACATAAGGACATTTCCATGTTAAGGATTGCGCCCAACATTCCTTCTTTTGCCAGTTTAATCATTCTATTTTAATTAATATGTCCTAGTCTAGCATGCCAGATATTCATATCAGGATTGCTTGAAGAAATAGCAAAACAATCATGAGCGTTAAAACCAAAAGCAAGATCCATAACAAAAAATTTCTGGAATCTGAATGCTGAACCATAAAGTTCTGAGTTGAAGAAAATGTCTGCAACTTGCTATGAAAATTAACATTAAACCCAAAGTCTACTAAGCAAATAACAGAAATTAAATTTCGTCGGATGTCGGGAGCATGAAGCACATCATGGAGTATCAAGGTCTTTGCACCACACAAAGCAAGTTTGCAGGTGCCAATGCCTCGAACCTCGATTCTCGCATTGTTCCCAACGTAAAGCCACTTGCTTTGATACGACAACCAACGGTATTCCATGAAGGATCCCTGATCCCTGCTTATGTGGTCTGTGGAGCCTGAGTCTATAATCCAAGAAGAAGAAACAGGTTCTGTTAGAAAAACAGTACTAGAAACATATGAAACATGTGAATTCACATAATTCACTAATACCTTTTCGCTTTCAGCCTGTTTGGAACAGTCACGTGTGAAATGGCCTATCTGTTGGCAGGTGAAGCATTTGACCTTCTTCAGGTCCAGCTTCTTCTTCCCGCCTTTCTTTCCCTTCTTCTTGAATTGTTTCTTGGCCTTTTTAAATTGAGGACCGCCCTTCTTCCCTTTTTTTTGGGGCTTCTTGCCTTTTTTGAAATTGGGCTTAGATTGGGAAGTACCAGCATCCTCAGTCAAATATGTCTGTCCAGAGCTCTTGTAAGCCTCTAGACGTTCATCTTCCAGCTCTAGATGCTTAGCTACATCATTAAAAGTGATGATGTTTTCATTGTGGGTTAAGTTGACTTTCATGTGCTCCCAACTTGCAGGGAGTGACCTAATGACAGCCTGCACTTGCTGCTCATCAGACAGGTTATGTCCAGCTTCCTTCAGTTCCCGGATCATATGGCCATCTCTCTCAAATGTTGCTTCATAGGATTGTTTGGCTTGAGCTTATAGGTATCGAACTTAATCATCAACCTTCTAAGCTTGGTCGTAGAGACTCCACCAAACTTATCCTTCAATGCTATCCACATGGCTTGTGTAGTTTTGTGCGACTCAAATTCGCACATCAGGCCATCAGCCATGGAGCTCAAAAGCGTGATTCTTGCTATGCTATTCTTCTTTTTCCAAGTTAGATATGCCTCTTGGTCTCTCCTGTGCTAGACCATGTTGCCAGCTTCAGGTTCAACCATAGCAGTAGTGAGAGGCTCTATCGCATCCTGTTCTTCTAGGATATACTGGACCTTTCGGTGCCAGATGTCCCAGTTGTCCCCGTTAAGCTTTTCTCCTTTGTTCAATTCAGCAATTATGTTCTTGGTTGCCATTCTTAGTTCTGTGACAAATCTATCCCATATTAATCTATGTTCTCTTTAAAAAGAACCGAACCAAAGAACATTTCAGTCATATAGCACAATGAAGTATACAATGTAATGTGCCTATATTATCCTCGATCAGTAAATAATGAAATTACAAGATCTATGATCAGGATAATACGTTTGTACCTCCCATCACACAGATACTAGTAATTATCATTATATTCTATCAAGAATACTATATAAGCACTTCAAAAATGTAACCTTTAGAAGTCTTATATCCTAAAAGCTCCCACTTATAAAAGCATACACTTGATATTCACAAATAATCATACAACAATAATTCAAGTAATTTCATTAAATTAAATAACATACTTAGTCTGTTTACAATGCATGAAACCACAAACTTAAGACAAATACAAATATTACATCATTTGATATGAACATAAAGGTAATCAAGCATTGCTTTTCTTAGGCTTCTAAGTTTTCGCGTTTTGTTCATAAAGGAGGACACTAGCTCTATGGCCCAAATCCAGTAAGACTTTCTTATGGGTTTGCCTTTTGGTCCGCCTCTAACCCTTATTGCTCTTATGTACTCCATTATAACTCTAAGATAGAATTCAGTATTCTTCTTATCAGTCATATAATGGACGTAGCTAGCGAGCACGCCATTGATGCCTTTTATGTTTGTTAATTTAGCTGCATCTCTTTCAGCTATTCTCATAGCTAAAGCAGGGGTACAGGGTTGATCCACCTCTTCGCCTTCTTCTACTTCGGTTTTATTAGGAAGATCTAGTGAATCATTACAAGCCAAATGAAGTTCGGTACGGAGGGGTTCAGTGGGGAATAAAGATTTTGACTCAGGTCCAGAATCTATTAACTCCTCTGGACTTCTTGAGGAACCTCTTCAGGGTCCTCTTCAGGATCCTCATCCTTTGGTTCATATTCTGGAACTGCATTATCCATGTATGAGTATTCCAATGAACCATCTTTGATATTTTCAGTGCTACTAGAAGCCTCTTGCTTCATTTTCACCTAGAACAAAATAATTTAAATTACTTTGAATATTCTGGAATTTATTTCCGCATGAAAATACCAGAAAATACACTGAAAATACTCACAAATAGATCCTTAATTGTCTCCAAAACTATTAAATTATATATCAAAATGAAGATCTTGATTTTAGGGATTTTTAGAGACAAACCGCACCTCAAACAGACCTCGCACGCGCCTACACGCGCCCCTAGAAGGAAAAATTTGAGAAAAATGAAAAAAAAAATTTCCCACTCGCCTTCTCAGCGCGTGTAGTGCAGATTGCCGGCAGAGACACGCGCCGTTCCGGCGGCCTCTACGCCCACCACCTTTCAGGTGGTGGTCCCACGTGCCCAGGTGGGTGCCACGTGGCGCTGCTGGCTCAAAAAAAATGTTTTTTTTTTTAAAGAATTTTTTATGGTGAACGGGCTGGATCGGGTTAGGTGAACCCGATCCAGAGGCAGACTTAGATCTGCAACCCCTTTTTTTTTGAAATTTTTAATTATTTTTTTTAAAGTATTTGGACCGGTTGGGTTTGGGTCCATTTCAGCCCAACCGGTTCCCTTCACAAAACATTTTTTATTTGGGGCAGTGACCAAAACAACGCCGTTTTGGTCATTGTTCATCGTCATCTTCCTCTAGCCGGGTCAACCCGACCCGAATGGATCGATGAGTCGGGTCCGACGGACCCGAAAACTTCTCTCCTCCATATCTTGGTCGTCCGGTGTCCATTTTTCGCGCACTTTATATCGTTTTCTTCATTTTTTCGTATTCTACACAATGGCATAAGTTTTATAGCCTAAAAACTTTATTTTAAGCAAACCCAAAATTGAAAAAACAACGGCCGAATGAAGGTACTGCATGAAACGATTTTCATGGAGGCAGAGAAGCAACCCAATATGTCTAAACATAAATATAAGACACAAAAACTATCATACTAAAAGTAAAATGGAGGATTTGCATAATATATTGAAGCAAATCGCAAGTTACTCAGACCGAACAATCAGAAAAAAATACTGATATGAAAACGCAGGCCACAGAATCAACAGGAAAAATCACATGCTCTGATACCAATGAAGGATTTCGGGCATGCCTGGAGTCTGCAATGAAGTTAGGTTGCCACGCAGAGGTCCGATCACGGTGACGGAGTCGGATCTGGGAGACACAGCAAATACACTGGAGGGAGAGTTTGGAGAGACGAAGAGAGAGTCTAATGGAGGAGAAAAAAATGCTTAAATCTACTGCCCAAAACTGATCCCTTTTGATCAATTTCGTAACTCCTTGTTTATTCAAATAAAAAACCGTCTCCTCCTACCCAACCGTTCCCGCCTTTGGAAAAATTTATGAAAGGGCGAAAATTACAGTTAAAGACCCAAGAGTTTTGCTATTTACACTGGAGTCCCAAATGATAAATCGGCTTGGGTCCAATCCACTAAGGGTGGACTGGCCCATTTTCTTACAAGCTCAAATAGATATTCAAACCGCAGATACAATACTTCATAACCTAGCTCATAGCTAGTAAGGTTTTCTGTTCTTTTTTTTTATTCACTACAAAAAATTCGACTTTCAGCGGCGACAAATGTCGCCGCTGAAAGTCCAAAAGTCGCCGCTGAAAAGCTTCAGCGGCGACATTTTGTCGCCACCAAGTCGTTGCCGTAGCGACCGTGGCTGAAACTTATCAGCGGCGACAAAAAAAGTCGCCGCTGAAAATGGACATTCAGCGGTGACAGAAAGTCGCCGCTGATGAACTGGACATTCAGCGGCGACAAAAAGTCACCGCTGAAACTCCTTTCAGCGGCGACATTCTGTCGCCGCTGAAAGCTGATGAGTTTGCCGCTCAGAACTGTCGCCACTGAAACATGAGAATCGACGGCGACTAATGTCGCCGCGGAAGCTTGCTTCGGCGGCGACATTGTTGTCGCCGCAGAATCTTGATTCGGCGGCGACAAGGAGGTCGCCGCCGAAGCTTGATTCTGCGGCGACAAGGAGGTCGCCGCCGAAGCTTGATTCGGCGGCGACAAGAAGGTCGCCGCCGAAGCTTGATTCTGCGGCGACAAGAAGGTCGCCGCCGAAGCTTGTTTCGGCGGCGACATATGTCGCCGCTGATTGTTATTTTAATTATTTTTATAATATATTAATTCTGCAAAAACTTTTATTTATATTGCTGATAAATATTATTAAAAGGTTTAATAAAAATAAAGTAATTAACACACAAATATGGTATATTAAATAATAAGATTTATAACCATGAAAGTGTTCTTTATGTCTCTAACTGAAAAAAAAAATTATTCAATTAAAAGATACATTACATAATACAGAAGAAAAATTACGTAGAGGGATCAATATTAGGGACGCTAGAAGTAGGGGTATCTGCAGGAGCATTTAACTGCATCTTTTGCATGAAAGCAGTGAACTGAGCTTGTATTCTCTGTTCCATCAACTGCTCCATCCTTTGTTCAAGTTGCGTACGCTCTGCTTCCATCTTTGCTCGCTCTGCAGCACGTTCTGCTTCTATCTTTTCTCGCTCTGCTGCACGTTCTGCTTCCATCCTCTCTCGCTCTGCAGCAAGATTTGCTTCCATCTTTTCTCGCTCCTCTTGAAATCTTCTTTCAAACTCTTCATACAATTGGGTGCGTACATTCTCAAGTGAATCACTAGATTGAGTGTGAAGTCTCTTCCTCCGAGGCTCTGCTCCATAACCTTTTCCTCTAACATATCCTGACCTCTCACCAAGAACAGCTGTCAATATCTCATCAGAGGTCATTCGAGCATCACTCTCTAAGGATTGCTGCTGAACGAGCTCATGCATGCGATCCTATAGTTACAAATTACAAATTACATGAATGAAAAAAATATAATTATTTAATTAAATATAAAGGACAGATATTTATACATACATGAATCTCTTCAGATCGCGAATCCACCCACTGTAACTGGCCATCTGCAGTCTTCCTAGTATGTGTTATCTCCCAAACCTGATCTGGGGGGGCAGGCTGTCCAGTGGTGGGGTCTCTCTATAAAGCATAATATACAAAAATAACAAATCTTGAAAAATAAAAAAATGGATAAAAAAATAAAGTGTAGTGAAGAGGCAACTTACTACAGAGAACTCAACCTCCGCAAATGATCGGGGACCACATGTATGCTTTGTTACTTGTTTTGCTCGGTTTTGTGTGTTTCTAGCACTTTTGTTCTACATCAAATTTGAGTAACTACTAAGTATGTTGAATGATATAATTATATTATTCATTTAAATAGTTAGTATTTAGTAAGATACCTTAAATGGATCTGATTGAAAATATGTCAATAACCACTCCCAATCTTCAAAACTTACAGTTTGAGGTGGATTTGCCAACCTTTCTTCATCAGTGTCAAATTTCTTATAGTGGGTATGCAAGTTGGTCTTCCAATTTCTGAAAGCATTTTGCAATGTGGTCACTATCATCTTTTGGAACTTCTCTTCATCTGTTGCAACAGCAGGTTGAAATTTTTCCTAAAATAAAAATCAATATCAGCATAAGTACTTGTTTTGAATGCATAAATAAAGTAGGATATACATTTACTAAACATAAATTGTACCTTCACTTTTAAAATCATAACATCAATATAATTTGTGTAAACATTCCTCCATTCAGCACAATCCTTCAAAGATATTGTGGTTCTAATAACATAACCACAATAATTAGCTAGCTCTCTTGCTCCTTGCCCTACTGCTCTTGTCATGTCATCTGTGAAAGTAAGCTGAATTTTTCCTCCAAATTTAGTCATTAAGTCCACATTGAGCGACTTATAAACTCCTCTACCTTTTTTAATTATATTAGAAGAGCCTATCATTCAAGTGAACAAATAATATAGTCAAAAGTATGTGATGCTAATTAGTTACTTGTATTATATAAAAGTAAAGAAAATTTACCTGCACTACTGTTTTGAGTAGGGGGAGAGTCGACAGGCAATTCCTCAAATTGTACTTGGAGTGGTCGAGGTGAAATGGTATGTCCAATTGCAGGGGTAGAGCTAATACCTCCACTACTTGTGCTGCCATGTCGTGTGAAGGAAGAGCTTCTCCCACCCGTCCTCTCTTTAGCCCTGACATATCCTGCAATAATGTACAAAATTTAGATTGTTTTTTATGTTAATAAAACTACTCTTTATGAAGATAGTATATATTAAAAAAATTACAAAATCTAACTTGTTAAGAATATATTAATAAAAACTACCATTTATGAGGATTGTAGTTTCATTCTGTTGAGTCCTCTGTGGTACTATCACTTGTATCATCATCTTCTATTTCACCTTCAATGTCACTTTCTTCTTCAGTATCACTATCATTACCATCAAGCACATCTTCTTCATCACTATCGTCATGAACTAGTGAATTAGATTCACTATCATCAATAAATCCAATCTCCATATTACTTCTTTGTGATGGTTCTCCTACTTGAATGAAAGTTTGGGGTTGCACATCATCTCCACACAAGTCAATAAAGATATCATGCTGTATAAGACTTGCATTTAAATCAACCACCAATTGTTGATAAGGCTCTTCATCAACCATTGCAATATTAACATCACTACCAACATTAACATTCTCAATCGGCATATTGAACAAGTCACGTGGATTCGTTTTGACAACAACAATCCAACCCGGGTCAACAATATCATGAGTGACTTGGTAGACATGGCATAGACAGCATGAGTTTGGAGCTTTCCTTGCATATGGAAAGTGAGCCTGAAAGCCGAAAATACAGATGCTGAGTCGTATTTTTCACATTGTCTCGCAAAAAAATTTTAAATTTTTAAAAAATAAATATATAGAATTTATTGCATAAGCTATAACTTCTCTTTCGGCGAACACATAAGCTATAACTCTAGCCATTAATCCAGACCTAGCATAACTTCTGAAAAACTATTGATGTTACCAAGAAAAGTATTTTTAAATTTAAATGCATATTTTCTTAACTAAAATAACCTCAAACGAGTAATGACGATCACAATAATAATATAAATTCGAAAATATATATTTATTTTGAATATTGGGAAAGTCCTGAAATATATTAATATTCATATATCATATATGTTATCCTTCATACAGAAGTTTTTGAAACGTGACAGCTTAACAATATAAAAATATTATATGCAGGAAGAATTACATTTTTTTCTCAGCACAGGAAGAGTTACACTGAACTATATAGTTTTGGGCAATTATATATGAAAGAAAAATGAAAAAGTGAAAGAAAATAGCAGATGCCATTGAAAAATAATGTCAACATGAGATGTTAGAAACATGCAGCCTTTTTCATTCTTAGATTGCACAATATAAACTTGGGGTCCCTAGGCATGTTTGAGGCGACTTAGAAATCAGTTCCCTCCGCGTCTTTGAAGTTTTGTAGGATGACATGTTTTATTTAAATCATTATTGTGAAATGTATATGGTTGATACTATTAGATCCACCCTTTGATTTTAGTTGATCATTTAATGATTTTGATTATCATAAAGGATCTTAAATTGTTTCAATCAAATTCGTGGAATTATTATAGCTAGTTAAAATATTCTTTTGGCTGTAGCAATTGAAATAATTTGAGATTGGCAAAGAGACCAAGCAATCGTAGGAAAGCTAGAAATATGATCATTGCATGACTAAGGAAAAAAGCTAAGGCTACATAAACGCATGCAAAGGATAGAAGATGTTGAAGACAATATAAATATATCAGCCCCCAACGTTCAGATTACGGTTCAAAATGATGTATAAGAAGCATGAACATAGATAAGAAAACAAGGAGAACAAAGAAAACACACTGTGCAATATACTTTATATTATGAGAATTTACAAGTTTGTTATGTGTTCTGCTCATTAAGTAAGAGCAAACCAAACAAATCTTGATCATACACCTGTAAAGGTTCTGAGTGAGCTGTGAGAAAATCATGTAATTAGTTATGGGTAAGCCATGCAGAAACCCTGAAAGATTGAATCGGTTGCATGTGAGTTCATTAACCTATGCATTCTTAACAATGTGTGTGAGATCTTGACTCCAACAAAAGATGGACATGTTATTGCACAGTCGATGGTGTTTCCCTGCTCAAGCTTCTGGTTCCAGGGGTATTGTCAGGAATCCAGATTGTGTCCTATTAGTTTTTTTACCCTCTTTGTAAGGACAAAATAGGCCCAAAATTTTTTCAACCCACCTAATATCTTCTGGTGTCTAGTCAAAACATTAACAACCTCACTCATCTCAAAACTAAGGTTGGCTAGGTAATCTGTCCAAGTGGTGCCTTTCTTATACTTCACATGTTCAAAACTATCGAATTATTCCACCATCCCATGGGTATTCAGATCCGGGGATAGCCACTACGGCTAAGGGACAGGGGAAAGGGGAAGTTCCAATGAAAGCTTTTCAAAGGTTATATATTAGCGATTGATTCGGAGGATAGAGAATGGAGTTGGAAGGCAGTTCAGTCTTGAATCTTCCCTCCCTCACTGATTGACTCCTCCGGGAAATGTCGAATAGTAGGGACAGCAGTTTAACAGGACACTTTTTTAACATGTCGAATAGTAGGCATTTCCCATATGATATTCCTCTCCTGTTTCCTCCCCCCACACCACCATATTTCCCCAAAGTAAATAAAGTTTCATTTACATAATGATCGATTATCATTTTTGGGTTTTCTGGCCACCTAAACTCATACTCAAATATACTTCTATTCCTCCAATTTCACAATAGCCAACAAGTAAACCTAATCGGTGAGAGGCTCGACCTTACCTGGATCTGTACTAACGGTGACGAAGCTGGAGAGTAGCGGCGATCCGGCAACTGGCGAGCAAATAGTGAGTTGCGGCAGCAAGCACAAATTGAAGGACTAGGAGGCAAGCTTGGTTGCAACTGCTACGGAATGGGGTCGCCGGCGCTGCGCAAATCACGAAAGGGGATGGGGGAGAAGCAGGTCTGAGGTCCCTCTTCGCCGTCTTCGCTAATCGGTGAGAAATGAGAATGTGAGATGCTGCCGCTAGCGCTAGGTTTGGAGGGAGAGGGGATTTGGGGATGAACTCGTGCGCGGCGCTGGTCTGATCTGGTGAGAGTGAGGGAAAAGTAAACTTTCAGAAGATTAGAATTGTTTTGGGTTTCAAAATAAGAAACTTTACATACAAAAACAATGCGCCAGCCTTGCCAATAACACACGTGGGTTCAGTGGCAGGGGAGTGTTAACTATTATAATTATCAGATCCCCTGTTCGAACTAGCCAGGTAACATTAAATGTTTTTTTTAACCTTTTTGAGCCAAAATTAATGTGTAAAAATTAGACATTTTCCAGATGGCCAGCCAGGCTAATAAATTTAATTGAAACCATTGAGCAATAGAAAATATATATAATATGCAACTCTATATGTTTTACAAAATTTAATTAATCACATTTTAAATTAAAAAATATAAATAGTAATAATATTTAATTAACTATATACATGATTTTATTATCTATATCTCTCACACATTTTTAATTAATTATATTATCTCCTTTAATGATTTTATTTCTCAATCCTCTCATACATATGTTCATCATCAAATATTATTATGTCAATTAAGTATACTCACACTAATTTAATTATAATAA